ATTCATGTTTACCTTGCGCAAGAATGGGCTGTGTCGTACGCTAAAATCCAAATCTATATGTTAGATGGATAAAAAATAAATGACTAAACGGTGATCAGAAAACAGATTTTTGCTATGCCAACCATACCAATGCAGCAAGGCGTAGCCTGGGACCAGGCTCCTCAGTGGGGGAAAAGGCCAAAAAGGGTGTAAAATAGGAAAATTGGTGGGGAGCGGTGGTCTGGAGAGTCGCCTCGCTCGCTAATGTTTTTGCGCGCACGCCGATTTTTTCTCCTTTTTCCCCCAATGCGTAGCCTGGACCCAGGCTAGGCAAGGCGTTTTACGCCCGCGCAGACCAAATTTCTCAAATTTCTACCCGAAAGAGACACTGAGAATTACGAATCTCAGGAATCTGGATTCCATTTTTTTTGCTGAATCCACGCTGAGAGTAGATTCAAAGGACTCAGAGTCGTTTTTCTCATTCAAGTAAAGACATTTTTAGATTTAATCATCTAGTTTCGGGTTCTCCCCCCAAAACGCTGCCATAACCTTTCGATGAAGGTTACGCGAGCTGTTGTTTATCAAATTTTCTTCCTTCCTTTATCAGGTTGCCTGTAAGTATATCGACAATCCGGTTCTGTTTCATCGTGAGGACGTCGGTCGAGTAAAATTTGATTTTAGGTATCTGGTTCTCCTCTCATCCGCCAAACCGTTGGTACTATACGCAGACAAAGTGTTTTGGCTGAGATTTGCAAATCAGTAAGTTTATAACCTGATTTTGTAATCCCACTCTTTTGGAATACGATGTATGTTCCTTTTTTTGATAGGTAATTGTACATAAAGATATTTTAATTTTCTCTTTCAGACCTTTCTCAATGGATTCTTTTGATGTCTACTCCAAGCACTTCACGGTTATGAATTACAGAGACAGTGAAAACTTAAAGCAGGTTTGTTTTTCTTTCCTGTTTATGACATGTTTTTTATTTTTAAGGGTACTCTGAATTCTAACACGCTACATTCTAAGGAGTAGCGTTTCGTTAGGACTCGGTAGAGAATTTTACGGACATTCTGTAACAGACTAAATCAAAATGCGACGTTTGAATTAAAATGGTCATTGCTAGAAAAAAACTTGAGTCTTGGTGGAAGTGATATACAGTAAAAACCCGCAACTAAGAACCTACATTTTTAGGAGTTAGCCTAAACAGGTTCTTATATAAATGGTAGTTAACAGAATTTTAGGCTATTTAGGTTCTTAAAATGGGTTCTTAATCCTGGAGAAAAAACAGTTAAAAAACAGCACTAGCTGCATAATGGTGTGCTGATTTACATATTGCTTAGTATGCTTTGTAAGTCTACATATCTTGCACTCATTTTTCTTTAAAAAACATTTTTACAACAATGGCAATCTGCTTTTTTTTTCTTCAAATGCAGCTGTAATGTACTAGTATGATTTTAGAAAATAAGAACCTGTTTTAAATTTCTTAAACTAAATAGGTTCTTGTTTATAGGGGGTATAAATGACCGATTTTAGGCTAACAGGTTCTTAATTTTTAGGTTCTTAGTTGCGGGTTTTTACTGTATGCCCTGGATTACGTTACGTTAAGGCAAAACAAAATGTAATTTTTGAATATAAATGTTATAAAGAAGGAGGTTTAAGCTCAATTTAAGTTTTCGTTGAAACTTAGATTACGTTTTCAAAACCAATTTTGTGAATTGTGCGGAGGACCCTTCCTTTCACAAATCTCTCATTTCAAGGACAAGACTCTGATTCCAAATATTACCCAATTACCCGTAAACGTTTTGATCAATGAACTTATGAACTGATCTTATTACTTTATCTCTATACAATTCATGAAATATATTTCAGCTTCGTTTGATCTTCGCGACAAATTGTAAACAAAGTAACTTAATTGTCCTATGATATAATTTTAGTTTTTCCTCTTAAAATAGGTTTTTCCAATACTGTATGTACTTGTGTGGTCATGCAATTATTAGTTGTTGTTGTTGTTGTTGCGCATTCCCTTGTTACTGCGATTGGGGTTGCTGTGCTTTGCGACAGTCAGATCGCGCAACGAAAGTGTCATGTGAACTGACTTTTTAACAACCTTTTCTTTCTTAACAGGTTCACCACCATGAATTTATACCCATGTTCGAGCAACAATATCCCAATCATAAATGGGCAGATGTAGAGGTATTTAAAGCATACAACATTCGTCAGTTGAGTTCAAAAAGTACTCTATTTGAGATTAGCTATGCCAGTTGAAAGCAGGATAGCTGGAACAGGCTGAATGAAGTTATTGTGGTCCCGTAATACTCCCCTCTCTGACGAAAAATGCACCACTCCACCGCGACTACAAACAGCACTGTGGGTTACTTTTGCGTCCCATTCGAAAATAGAGAGCTTTAGATTCCAAACGAGTAGGACGACGAATACGAGATTTTCTCAATGCTAAGTGGTGTTCGCGTGTGAGCCGGCGTCATTTTGGCGGGAAAACGTTATAGCCGTCGTCGTTCTACTACGAGTTTTAGCGAGAATGTCGTAGTGGCGGAAACAAGGTATCAAATGTTAGAAGTTTTATCATTTTGCGATCGGGACAGGGCTTAACCTCCTTCAATAAAGATAACATTATTAACTTTTCTGAGGGAAAAAGGAACAATGAAGCATTCTGGGGTGTCTATTTTTTGACAATACGCGAAAAAACTTTAAATCAAATCTCTTGCTCATAATCGTTCTCATCCTCGAATCTTAAGGTCTCTAATACTCTACAAGACCCTCACCGTGGGGGTTCATTGGCCTGCTGACTGCGCGAGGCAATGGTTTAATAGATTATAATTACTCTTTTTTCCGGCTGGAGTGGAGAGCTACTCCTAACCCGTGGAATGGGATAGAGATATATATACAGTCTGTAGTTAGTCTTTTGAAACAAGAAACGATTGGCATTATTGTCAACTCGGACATTTCCACAACGCACCCGCTTTCCCACCCCCCAAATCTCCCTGCCCCAAAAATAGAGCACGACGGTATAATAGTGTATTCTTAGACATATTTAATTCTGCAAGCAGAATACTGCAATGCTGATCGTACTACGTGAAAATTAACTCTAAAGACATCAACACGACACCGAAAGAACTCAAAACAGAGCGGGATTGTAGCCATAGACAGCTTTTTCGCCCTCTTTGGGGATCGTCAGTATAGCGTAACAACCAGAGAAAGCTCTGATGAAAAATATCCGCTCACTCTGATTTCAGCCCTGACCTAGAACTTTCAACACCCACGTAACAGAACCACGCCATACCACGTGTCTTCTGGGGGGCAAAAGTCCAAGTGTCAAGTTGATGTCTCGCAGAGAAAATAAAGAATTGGCCAAAACCAACCTATAAAACATATGCACAGAATCATGCAAAAATTACTGCATATCGGATCTATAAAAGATCTACGACCCTAGAACACATAAAGTACAAACATTAACCACAAGGTTATATTAAAGGTTGTATTCTTATTCAATGGATGCACATACCGACACACTGAGAGAGACTTTCAATCGCGTTTTGAAAAGGATTTAACATTTATCGAAAGGTTTAAACTTTAAGATAAAGTGAGGAAAAACCTAAAAGAGACTCATTGTGGCATCGTATTTTTCCTATTGCGGGTTAAAATATAGAATTAATACCCGCACGCAAGAATATTTCTTTTCAGTATAAGTATGTTTGCAAGATTTTGGTTTAAATGACCCATCCTTTCCCCAATAATTAAAAAAGGTGCCCCATGGTAGCGGGGGACAGGAAACGTAACTTGATCCTTCTTCCATGTCCGTTTTTGCTGCACAGACGAGGGCCCCCATTTTTCGATTTGGCTTTGCCGCCTGGCAGCCCAATTAAAAGACAGAATGGCGGACGGATCCCTAATAAGGCTTTGCGTTTTCCACTCCCCCTTCAATGCCAATTAAACTCATTTCACAGCTAGAAAAGATCTTGAATTCGGCCTCACTTTAATATTGAGAGTTTTGGAACTCCGAAATGGCTTATTAGAAGGAGGGTGCCTAAAAGAAGGAAGACGCTAATTTGACATTGCCTTTTTACTTTTGATAATCAGGCTAGGGTGTTTAAGATGTTCCGAGAGATGTTCGAAGCAGCAGTGTCCGACTCACCACCAAAGACCTTGATGCACTGCTCACAGGTGAGATATCAGGTTTTTCATGCTCCGATCTGTTCCATTTTAATTTTTGTCCCATCAAGTTTACGAATGACTCCCCACCAAACAGCATTTTAACGTCTTTAAACTTGATGCAGCTTAGTGTAAATACATTACTCTTTGTTTAGAAACTACATATGTCATCTTTTAGTCGCTTTACGTCAACAAATGTTTTGGCGGCCATGCATAAATATTATCCGAAAAACGAACAATCCAAGTTCATTGAGCAAAATTTGAGAAGTCGGGAGTCGCGACGTCGCTGTTTGATATGACCACTCGTGTCACATACGAAAAAACACCACTCTGTTCCAAGATTTAGTGGTCATATTGGTTCTACGAATAATGCTTTCATCATCATCATCGTCATGTCTGAACGCGCCGGTAGGTGCATAAGGCCTCTCTACGAATACTTTACTTTGCAATAAAACAACAGTGTTGTAGAAACGATGCCTAAATGGAGTAACGGTTTTTACTGTGTGTTGAAACGTTTTTCTTTCTCTAGTCCCGTGCGTTTTATGCTTTGGATCTTATGCTGAAATGGGCTGACGATGGTACGTTTTGTAGTTGGCAATGTAAATATGTTGCATGAAAATTGTTTAACACCTTGTGGGGCCGCATCTTATTAGACATGAAAAAGAACGGCCATTAAATCAGTTATTATCTTTTAGACAATCAAAGACTTCAGGGTGAAGCCATCCTTACATCTGCGGGCATTATTAAAACTAGGAACACTGGAATATTTTGAAACACCCCAGGAACAACCTAGTAAAGCTGACAATAAGTGAAATAAAAAAGGCAAACGTAAATCGTTAACCCTAACTTTTAATCTGTAAAATATTTAGTGTTTTCCTGTTTTTGTTATTCACTTTACGTGTTCCGTGCGATTCGGAAATGTTCTGCGTTCCAGCTTTTAGCACAGGCGTTCTACGGATCAGTACTGAGATTCAGGCATAATTGCCTGGTTGCACTTAACCCGCGTTTTGCCTTAAGTGAGACGATGTTTTTTCTTTTACCGATAGGCACAGACCAGATGATTCCCCAAGTTTTGGAGGTGAATTACTGTGCCGACTGCGAGAGAGCGTGCCGCTATCATCCAGAATTTTTCAACTATATTTTCAGTCTGCTCTTCCTTGGCGATTCCAATGGTTGGCCTGTGGAAGAGCTATAATGACAAACTGGCCTCCAATTTGGTGTAAATATACAAAAATGAATATTCAATTCTTGTAAAGTAACGAGCTCGCGTGCCATTGGTTGCGAGATCAAGTTCTTCGGAGGAAGAGAAGATTTTTATCATTTGACGAGCACTGTACGGTACGGTCGTGGAAGAAACACATCAGGCGGCGCCAGGCTTACTATTTACTTTTAGAACAAAGCTGACGTTTTAGGACAGTAAGAAGAACAATTTCGCGTTCTTAATTAAGTGTTAACAAAAATAACGTTATTACACCGTATTGCCTTCAGTTTCCTTGACATTGTCGAGGCTCTGATTAGTAGAAACATATGTTTACAAAAGGCAACAAATAATTACACAGCACATACCCTGCGAGCAGAGGCTACATTTTCGCGGTATTAGCTGGTGTGCGAAAAGTAGGGTACACAGCACAGAGCGCAGAACTCTTAATTTATTTCTGAAGTGTAAACAACAACAAAAACATATACTAAAAATTACCCACAACATCAGCATATTGCGTATTGTTTCATGAATATATATGTTTTATTTCCCCCAATGATTCCATTTAGCACCTTTGTTTCATAATTAGACTTACTGACGCTTTTTTTCTCTCCTAACCGTTTTCCATGGGGAGATGGAATGTTGCTCATCCGCGTGGTGATTGTGAGGAAAGGTTAGAGTATCGATTCTATACCTTAAAAGGAGGTCGGACACCTAACGAAGCTTTAGACAACGTAGTATTAGTTTTCACTCTGTAAGAAGGGGAAAGATGTTTTTTAGGAGAAAATTAAGAATAAGGAAAGCCAATTTCGTAGGAAAAGAAGTAAGAAAATATAGCTGCGATTATCGATTGCTCTGATGTATGGTCACTAGGATTTAGCACTGTTTTAGAATGGTTAGCTTTTATTTACTGTTTGGCAAACTCCGTTGAAATACATTTCTATAAAGTTACGGCTCTTGGTACGGATTTTTTTCTTTAGTGTAGTGGTAAAGTGAGCGAAAAGTGTTGTAAATCGGGTTCAAAGCTTCGTCACTCTTTACTATAGTCTTTCTTCTTTTCCTTTAAAACGTTAAAATTTAAAGTAAGGTTTCCTCAGTGGGTAGGGTTTATGAGGTATCCGACCACTTTCTGAGCTACAGACTCTGCCTGAAGAAAAGTTTTCGTGGTTGTAATTGTTGGTTTTACTAGCTAGGTTCTTTCACGACGATATTCTTGAGATAAAAGGATGCCCCGAGCTTAAATGGAGATATTGTTTTATCCAGAAATTCTCACTCTAACCCCTTTATAAACACTTAAGTCTGCGTCTTCTGTCCAGTGTTACTCGGTTTTAACTCTTGTTTCTGAAACGAGGACAACAAAAATAAATTCAAATCATATATTTTTTTCCTGGCTTGTTTTCGTCATCGTCTAGTTATTTGTGCACTAAAACTGAACGTGTTATTTTCCCCTCACGTTTTCAGACAAACAATGGTGATTTTCTTACAGATTTTGTTAAGCACAAGCGAAATTCAAGGAAATAGAAGAGGGGTATAGTGAGCTGATAGGTCAAATTTATCAAGACTATAAAGCTGGTCACATTTTTTCAGTAAGACTTTATCATGCGATCATCACTTTTAACGTCATCAATGATCCGCTCTACATCTCTTTAGTAAATCTAAAAAGTTAGTACAGGTAATAGCATGATTTGTAGTGATAATTGGCATAAATACCACGAGTGGTACGAATTTCACGAACCGTTAGGTGAGTGAAATTTGAGACAATTTTGAAATCTCACGAGTGGTGTTTAAGCCAAATATCACGAAAAACCATGCTATTATTTGTTTATACTACTACTCGCAAAGGTTTTGTAATTTTCACGTGTAGGTATTTCAAATTAAGCTAAATACGACCGCTCTAAGCCAATCAAATTGCAGAAATTTCTCATGTAGTTGTATAAGGAGTAGAAAAAAATTTTTCATCAGCCTCTTTGAAACGCTTTTAGCCTGTGAGCAAGCTTTCTGGGGAACTCTGGGGGCCGAGGAGCCCGAGAGTCCCTCAGAGAGGTTGCTGGAAGGTTAACTGAACGTCTTAAACGAACAGATGCCAAATTTATGCATATAATACCTACTAACCTCCTAATTAGGTGGCAGAACATTTTCGATGAAGTCATCAACATTGACTGCGATTGCAACGGGCTCATATACTGCAACCACGACGGTGGTAACATTGCCGCTTTCGTGATTCATGGCATATCCACATCCTACGCTTGCATGAGATCTCCACATGAGCTTTCGGGAAAGAGACATGAATGCTTAGATTGTTTTGATTATAGATTAAGTTTTAGATTATAGATTTGAGATTAAAGAAAATGATCAGATGTAGTCGACGTCGTTGTCCATCTGTCTAGTCCGTCTTCCTGTGGGTCCATTCAATCTGTCACTCTGTCCGTCCGTCAATTAAGGGAAGCTTGATATACCGAAAGAACTAAAGGGTCCAATCAATATTTGTCTTGTAACTGAAAAGCCCTTTTAGGGAGTTACGGTAAAGTATGTATGTATGCTCTCCATCCCTCCGTACGTCCAGTCGGTATGTCTATCTGTCCGTCCATCCATGTGCACGTCCATCTATCCGTTTGTCTGTTTGTCCGTTCAGCCCGTCTGTACGTCCAGTTGATATGTCTGTCTTTCCATCCGTCCACCCGTAGGTCCATCCAGTCGATATGTCTGTCCATTCCGTTGATCGGTCCGTCGTTCTGTCTATCCGGTCACTCTGATCTGTCCAATAGTTTGTCTATTAATCCATCATCTGTTCTTTTGTCCCTTCCGTGTGTCTCCATTCCGTGCATCCATCTGTCTGTCAGTCCATCCATCTGTCCTTCCAGTCGGTAAGTCTGTCTTTTGGTCTATCCATTCCTGCCCATCTTTGCATCTGTCTGTCCACCCATCAGTCTGTCCATCCAGTCTATTTTTCCGTCCATTCCGTCGATTGGTCGCTCCATCTGTCCTTTCATTCAGTCCGTCCATCTGTCCATCCATCCTGCTACATGTCCATCCGTTCATCAGTCTGTCAGTCGTTTATCAGTCTGTCAATCCGTCCGTCCATCCGTCCATTATTCCATCTGTCAGTCTGATTATTCCACCTGTCTGTCTGTCTGTCTGTCCATTCGTTCAGTCCCTCCGTCCAGTCCATCCACTCCGTCCGTCCAACCATCTACCTTTCTAGTCCGTCCATCAAGCCGGTCCGTGCGGTAGTCCCTCCAGTCCATCCCTCTGTCCTTCCGTTCATCAATTCATCCATTCTTCTCTTTTCCGTCCGTCTGTATCTTTAGTCCATCTTTTTAACCATCCATTTGTCCAGTCCATCTGTCCATCCCCGTCCAGCCCATTCGTCCGTCTCTCTTTCCCTCTGTCTGTCCGTCAATCTAGTCCATCCTTCTGTCCATTTCAGTCCGTCTGTCCATCCAGTCCATCCGTCCGGTCCGTCTGTCAGCCCACCTCTCCGCGATCCCAATGTCCGTCCGTCCATTTGGTCCATCCCTCCATCCTTCCATCCGTCCGTCCCTCTGTCCATCCTGACCATCTCCATCCTTCCATCCGTCCGTCCCTCTGTCCATCCTGACCATCTCCATCCCTTCATCCCGTCTGTCCATCCATCTTTCCGGTCCGTCCGTATAAATAGTGGTGATTATTTGTACGGTTTTCAAGGCTTTTGGGAAGAAAAGTGCAATGTACATCCGTTCAGTCCTTGGGTTCGTCCAGTCGGTCCTTTCGTTCATCCCTCTGTCCGTCCTGTCTGTTCGTCAGTTTATTTTGCTTTTCCATCCATTCCAATTATCCAGTGCGTCCTTCTGTCCTTCCAGTATATCCTTGTTTCTGTACGTCCTTCCAGTCTGTCAGTCCAGCCAGCCTTAAGGTTGATTTCCACTGACGCATTTTTGGTTACGCACGTTAACGCGCGTAAACTTTAATCACGTAAATAAAATAGAGGCAATATTAAAAGTGTTGAGCTTAAACGACAAGTTGAGCGAGGTTCAATTCTTAGGCTTACCAGCGACCTTTCATGCATTGCCTCTATTTCATTTGCGAACGTAAATTTTACGCACGTATGCATGTACGCAACACTGGAAATCAACCCTTAGTCCAGCATGTCCACCTGTCCGTTCAGTCCATCCAGTCTGTCTGTGTGTCAGTTCGTCCAATCTGCTCGTCTGTCCGTCCGCCCGTTACGCTTTATACTTAAAGAAATTACAGTACTTTCACATGGCCTCTTAAATTCAGTTGGTACTTTTGATAGAAAAGAGATGATTGCTACCAATTCGCGTTGGCTTCAACCTACCTCGATGAAACGGTGATTGTCTGTGGAGATTAGTGGCTTAGTGTAGTTGTAGGAATCACCCTCAATGTACCTTAAAAAGCCACCAGAAAAAAAGAATGAGATATATCAAGCATTTTCGATTAACTGAACAAAAAGGCAGGGAAAAATAAAATGTCAGTTCTAAATATAGGAAAGTGTGGACTTTTCCTAAAATAAGTCGATCCCAATTACTAAGCTAACGCTTTTAGCTCATGATCTAGAATAGCCTGCGAACGGCAGACGTTTTTTCTCGCTCTTTGCCGCTGAGGGACGTTTCGCGAAACGTCCCTAGATCTAGAAAGTCGATTCCAATTTAGATTTGAATTAAACTCGTCTAAAATTAATTCAACTTATGAACGAGGCCTCACGATCCTAGGTTGACGCAGTGACCGGGACAAGAACGTGAAAAGAAGGAACAAGTTTAATAGAGTGTTTTTACATGACGTCACGTCCGCTATTTTGTAGTCCCAAAACAATTAAACTGGGGCCGTGTCTTTGACATGTTTATGTCCCCGTGTAAACGAAAGCAAAATTATTGGCCAACAACTCCCAACATTATTGTCGGACGACATGTTCAGCGTCCGTTTGAACACCCTGTGGCATGTTATTGCATGTTGCGCCAACAATGGTGGGAGTTGTTGCGTGCGTCGGCAGTGGCGTGCAATCGGATGCAACAACTCCCAACAATGTTGGGACCTGCAGTGCATCGTGGGAAGGATACGGCCCATAAGTCTTTATAAACCATGCGTAATGAGTGTGCGTGGCCCCAACAATGTTGGAAGAGCTGTAACCGCATTACTCGAAGCTACCGATAGCTGGGCAGTGAACGTTGATCGTGGCCTTGTCAATGCCGTTGTCTTCTTAGACTTAAAAAAGGCTTTCGACACAGTTGATCATCATATCTTATTAACGAAATTACAATATTATGGATTACGCGGTTCCTGTCACGAATGGTTTACTTCGTATTTAAACAATCGTACCCAAACTTGCCAAATTAATTGCTCAATGTCAAACCCAAAATTAGTTACATGTGGTGTTCCCCAGGGAACAATTCTTGGACCTTTATTGTTTTTACTGTATATTAATGACCTACCTAATTGCTTGCATTTTTCACAACCTAGAATGTATGCCGATGACACCAGCCTAACCTATGCCAGCGCAGATTTAAAACTCATAAATGACTGCGTTAACGACGATTTAAACAAGGTGTATATATGGCTATCGGCTAACAAACTGACCCTTAACTTGACTAAAACTGAGTTTATGTTAGTTGGGTCGAGGCAGAAGCTATCAAAGCTTTCTGAAACTCCTTCTTTTATGATAAACGACCATCCCGTGATGCAAGTGTCAACGGCAAAATCTCTTGGAGTGCATATTGACCAAAACTTAAGCTGGGAATGCCACATACAGAGTATTTGTAAAAAGATTGCTTCTGCTTTGGGTGCAATTAAAAGAATACGACATCTTATTCCTTTTAATGTATTAATTAATGTTTACGACAGTTTAATTCAACCGCATTTTGATTACTGTAATGTCGTATGGAGCAACTGCGGCATTGGTCTTTCCGATAAGCTGCAGAGGCTCCAAAATCGTGCAGCCCGTATTCTAATGTCCGCTAATTCTGATTGTAATGTGGACGATTTGTTCCTGGCACTGGGTTGGCGTAAGCTTAAACACCAAAGACAAGTATCGACGGCTATTATGATGTATAAAACCGTACATGGGATGACTCCCGACTATCTAACATCTAAATTTGTATCTCGTGACGAAATAACTTCTTATCGATTGAGGAATACTGAAAATAAATTAGTCCTTCCACTGCCCCGTACCAATTATTTAAAGAAAAGTTTCTCCTATAGCGGAGCTAAGCTGTGGAACAGCCTATCCCATGATTTAAGATCTGCAGATTCTTTACATGATTTTAAACGCAAACTGTGTCGCAACAGTTTTGAATGAGATCATACATTAATACAGTTTTACACGGCATCCTTGAAAAGCAGCTTTTATTTGTAAATAGCTAGGTAGTTAAAATTTTATGAATATATTTTTAATCAGAGTTAGTTTAGTTAGGTATAATAGATCTTAGATTTTTTGTACATGCTGAAGTGTTTAAATAAAGTTATCTATCTATCTATCTATCTATCTATCTATCTATCTATCTATCTATCTATCTATCTATCTATCTATCTATCCAACATTGTTGCGCTACGCTTGGGCCATCACGGAACAAAAGAAATGTTGGGAGTTGTTGGCTGAAAAGTTTGACCGGTTTCAAACTTTGCGCAACAACATCCAACAACATGCAACAGGGTGTGCAAACGGACGCAACATGTAACATCCAACAATGTTGGGAGTTGTTGGCTAACAATGTTGCGTCCGTTTGCTCGGGGCTTTACATGTAACGTCTAAGTTTGTAAGCTGATTCATGAGAACATTGTCTCCGTTATCTTATAAAGAAGCTTTCATGCCTATAATTTCCTCTACAGCCTTTTCCTTACCAGTTTTCTACAGCGTCACTTATTGTCCTCGCGGTAGGCCAGGATGCGATGAAAAAGTTTGCATCATACATCCCATTTGTCACCTTTTCCGGTGGTTCGTTCTTGGTCAGAAAATTAGCCAACTTTTGAGCACGCTTAGCAAGTTCCCAGTTGTATTGTAAGGCAGGCGTACCGTGTTTGCTCCTGTAAAAGTTGTGCTCTTCAAGGCAGTCGGATTCGATGCTCGCAAAAACTGTGGGAAACACAATTAGATCGTTGTTACGGCAACTGAATCTTCTTGGACATGTATTTATCTTTTCGTACCTGCGTTGTGTTCTACTGAGAGCTACAGAAGACCTGTCGAATATCAAAGTTATAAAGGGAAAAAATAATCTGTATACAACTACAGACAATTGTTGGCTCTCTTTTTAATACATGATTATGAAAAACGAAATCACTGTTTTATAAGTGCATGTACATGAGTCCACTAACAAGGGTTTGGACAAATTTTTGAACGGACCTGTGCCATGTATCAGTTTCCGGCACCTTTCGGATCTCTATTGCTATGTTACCATACAAAGCAAATAACTAAAAATTTAACTTACCCATGTGAAGACGTGCGCAGCTGACCAAAAATAAAGTGAGAAAACTCATTTCTTCAGCCTGGGATTGAAATACTGTCCGCGGAAGAAATCTACAATGTCGACATTGAGCACTAACTAAATCTTCATACACCATGTTCCAAAGTTAAGCGGGATATTTTAAACTGAATATGTATGTGTTATCCGGAACAATGTAACAGTTTTACCTCTTACCTATTTTGTAGCTTATAATCAGCAACTTGAAAACGACAGATATAACTAAATAATGATTTCAAAAAGGAAAACTGAAGCGAAAATGCTAGTGGTTTGACTAATAGCCTTTCTCACTAGAATACTTGGTTTAAAGACAGACTTCAATGACTTATAGCGTTGCTTATCTCAGCAGCTAGTAGGGTGCTCTAACATGTTGACAATCCAAACAAATATCCGCTTAAACAACCTAACTTTGCTTTCGGATACTGGTTCCTCAGTTCACCCTAAATCGAACCACGTTTCAAGAGTTTAAGTAAAGATTTCTTTCTGTATATAAATTATTATTAACTTTTGTGTCTTGGAGGTTGTCTTGGCCTTTTAGCTTTTAAAATTTCGAAATATTTTTAGGTAAAAGCAATTTGTAAGGTCTTATAATGTCCAGAGAGTGTGTTTTTGAGAAAATGGGAACTGAGTTTTCCAGTTTTGAGATTCTTCAGGAGCCCAAAGTCTGTGAAGATCTGCCGAAAAAGTGAAGTTTGAGATACCTTAAAACTTTTTGACGGTTGATATCAATCTGCATTTTTAACGGTTGACGGTAAAATAAAACCTTTTTCGACGGTTGACGGTTAAATTTTAGGCCGTTTGACGGCTGACGGTTAACCCAATGACGGAGACCCTCCAGTATAATGGTTGTTCATCAAATTACGAGGGAAAAAAACTCGGTTACAACCGACCTTTCAAAAAATAAGATAACTATTACAAGAAGGAAAACAGTGAATAAAAATAGAAATGAATGTCCCTACCTCAAGAAAGCCTTCCGGTGTAACTTTCCTACGAACCCTCTATGTAAGAGCTCTTCCAAGCTTGAGCATTCCGTTCAAGCCGTTATCGTTGCTAGCGGTTACAAATAGCCATTAAATTGAGCTTTCCTTGCCCAAAATGAGAGTTAATGAGCTTCATCTTTAAAAAAAATAGAAATAGCGTTGGCTTATGAAAAAAAACTTATTAACCATTCTTTAGCCGCAACGGTGTAAATCCTCTGAACTCGTTCAGTTTTCGCAAAAAAAAAATGTTTACGCAAGTTAGAGCCTCGTGTCACTGAGCGCAAATATGAAAGCATAAACGAAAACAGTTGCAGACTAATTATAAAGCAAAGGCTAGAAACGAACTCATATATGTATTTCAGGGAGTTTGGGAGTTAAGAGCAAAATAAAACTTAAAAAGGTATTGCAGGCTTGAGCGTTTAACTAGAATACCTCTTATTACAACCTGTACTGAGCTTTTCAGAAATGGACAGAGAATAAAAGAATTAAGTAAAGATTTCAATGAGTCAATAAGTCAGTGAGTCATGAGTCAGATGTAAACGTTCCAATCTCTCCGATATGCTGCCAATAACTGCTTTGAAAAATACACATGTTGTTACATCGGAGTGACCCCAATTACTTTTTTAAAACCGTAATCACTATCCAATGTTCAATGTGTCAAATGCTGACCTGACTGATGACTCTCGAAATAACTGAATTGCTTGGTTTCTAAGAAACCGTCGTACTTTTGGATAGAATTCTATTATAGCAATACCTTAGACTCGTGTAAGGTTTTTCCTACAAACTGTTGTTCTATTGAAGTAATCACTGAACATAACTGAATATTTTAACACTGAATCAATTATCAGTAACAAGAGATCAAAAAAGATTATTATCTCTTGTCAGTAATCATGGTTTTGAAGTACAATATAGCCTGCCAGCAGGCTCACTAGTGCGGTCCGTTCTCCTTTCGGGATTGCCGCTCCGCCGCCAAAACCTTGTTTTTTATAACTTTTTTTTTTCTTTTGTCCGTTTTTTATCACTACCGGCCTCAATTAGCGAACTAGCTATTTTCAGGTAGCAAATAAAATAAGATACAAACTGAAAATTGTTGCTCGTTCAGGGTTGTTTTTGGTGTCAATTTTTGAAGGCTTTCTTCAAAAGCCGCGCCTATGCCCCTCCCCCACATCACCTCGATTTGATGTCTAGTTACCAGGACAGTAGCAATATTTCGTCGATCTTCCACGGGCCAGCTAATCGTCGGCCTGCAACTAAACAATATTTTAAGGAAAATGACTTCAACTCGCACCGAAACTCAAAAAAAAACCACGGAAAAGCATTCTGGTCCAGCAAAACTGAAGAAAGATCCAACTATAGTAGAGATTTTTGAAAGCTTAGAGTATGGTCCAGCTCCCGAGGCTGCCAGCAGTGTTAACGCATGGCTTGATGAACATGGAAGGGACTTCGGGCATTTCGTGAACGGAAAATGGGTAAAACCCAAAGGGAGGAAAGTGTACGAAACCAGAAATCCAGCAACAGGTTGGTAATGTTTAAATGACTTATTACTAGCAGGTATTCAAAGTTATGACGGCAGGCAAAATCGAAGTAAATGCACGTGATTTCGCGGTGATCTCGGCGAGGACACATCGCCCACAATGACTTAGGTAGTTGGGTCGAAATCTTAGAGGTATAGTCGGAAAATAATTTGCCTTTACTCCCTCTTATATTTTTTATATACAGCTTGAATTGTCTTGAAAATATGAGATAAATAATTCACGTACAGTCAATTCAAGACTTCAACAAGGTAGCCATGTGCAGCCTCCTGGTTCAATTTCCCATCCCCATCCCCCCCTCCCCCTCCAGGTTGCCTGCAAGCAAGCACTTTATGTTAATTGGTGAGTGAAATGGGGTTAGGAAAGAAGACATATGTGAGCAGCAAGGCTGCATGTGTAGAAGGTAGGCCTTTCCCACCCCTTGCTCTCACATATTTCAAGTGTTACTCGCCCATGACTTCTTACAACAACCCAGAATTTGAGAGCTTTCTCATAGGTTATCACCCAGGACAAAAATGGTGCTCACAGTGCTCACCCGCTTTTTCTTACACCTCATTATTCCGGACAGTTTGGTTTGTCCCTTGCAAAAGAAAATCGCTTACTTTTTCTCTGAATTCAAACTGCTTATAATTATATGTACAGGTCAAATGCGGACATCCCGTTAAGAGGGACACTTTCTATGGCCCCCTCAGTGTCTTTGTTTAAGCCGTTTGACTTCACTACTTTTCGTAGTACAGGATGGGTAGTTAAATGCCTCCACCCTGAGGACTTTATTGCAAAAATAACAGCTTTATATTACACATGTAAAATCTCTCCACTTTGACTTCCATAAAGGTACAGTTGTACCTCACCCTCTGGACACCTCCATAATACAGAAACCTTTCCTTTGTGGACAGTTCTCTTGGTGCTGAAAATGCCGGGCTTTATTCATTTCCTACCTTTACAATATGCACACCTCTGTAATGCAGACATAATCCTCTGTTCGTTTGATGCATATTTTAAGAAAGTTTGACTTTTTAGTTATAATCTGTTAATACACTGTATGGGCACTAAGGGGACCATAGATCATGATGGTATGAACAAAGAATCAAATTAATATAATGTATTATGTCTTTTACATTAACAGGTACCTGTATTAATTATGCAGGAAAATTTTGGGTTTTATTTAGGAAGGAACAAATCAGTGGGCATCCATAAAGCAGGGTTCAATGTCCCTCACCCCTACTATATGTAGGCTCGGCTACTAGCCGCTGGATGCGAGAGAGTGGCGGAAATTGAACCTATCCCATATGGTGTTGAATTCTTCACCCAGGTGACTGAAACACTGTTGCCAAATTCCCTTAAATGAGTTAATTACCCTAGGAAAGGTGGAAGTGGGGCACATTGATGTCCTTTAGTTGAATGATACAAAAGCATAAAACGGTAATGAAATCAACTTTTCAATTTGGGAAAATCCTGATGATGGCGGGATTACTGTTTACAGAGCATCCGAGATTTTGCTTGCAATAATTAAATATACTTTTAAAAACTCAAATTTCACTGTCACAAAGCTTACACTGTAGCAATATTGTTGTAGGTCCAGACCTCCTCCTCACAAAGTAATGTCTGGGATAAACATGTTGATTTTTTTTTTACATCAGCTACAATCCCGGACAAAACTACTTGAGAAAGTTTTCCCATCGTGTCCACTTTCCTACGCAACAAAACTATTTCCAAAACGACGCCTTTGCGGAAAGAAAACCCCTTCCCCCAGTTCAATGTTGCTTCCCACTTGAACACCCAGGGATCAGGCTTTCTTTTGAATACACAACAACATTGCTTTCAGGGGGAGGGGGAGAGGGAAGAACCGGTACAGCTACGATGTTTTGAAAAATACTGTCCAAGTATACAATTTTCTCAACAGTTTTGTCCAAGATTGTAGATAAGGATTTTCTTATCCTCTGCAGCATTCCAACGATGCTGTCAACACAAGTTATTTCCCTCTAAGGATCTGAACTCTACATAAAAATGTACATGTAGGTTGTTTCAGTTCAAGTTCATACTTTGCCTTTTGGTGTCTTCTTTAATTCTTATTTTTAGGGGAAAAACTGGCGTCAACAATGCAAGGTGAAAAAGAAGATATTGACAATGCTGTTGCCGCTGCAAGAGAGGCCTTTAAATCGTGGAGTAAACTTCCTGGCCATGTGCGTGCTCGTCATTTATACAGTATAGCACGCCATGTTCAAAAACATGCACGTCTGATAGCTGTTGTTGAGAGTATGGACAATGGAAAGCCCATCAGGGAGACTAGAGATGCTGATGTGCAGATTGTAGCCAGGCATTTGTATCATCACGCTGGCTGGGCCCAGCTGATGGATACTGAGATGAAAGGTACGTACATCAAATTGTTCTCATTATAATAATATTACTGTACCCAAAAGAGAAATCACAGCTAGTTTAATAGCCCATTAAGTTATGGGAAACTGGTACCTAGGGTAAATTTAATAAATAAATATGTTTACAAGTGTAAAATGAGTAAAATAATTTTCAACAAGAGAAATTGCGCATCTCCGAGCGGCCATGTAATGTTCTATTTATTGTTGTTAATGTAATGAAAGTTTACCTGTTATTTATTAGTGGTTACTTACATTTAAGCAATAGAAAAAGTTTTCCGTGTTTGCATAGCCTGATATAAACACGAGAGGGGTTGGGAGAATTCAAGAAAGTTATGCAAACCCGAGACGAAGTCGAGGGTTTGCATAACTGTCGAGAATTCTTCCAATGCCTCGAGTGTTTATATCAGGCTATGCAAACACAGGAAAAAAGTTTTCTATTGCTTTTATAAAATAACTTTCCCAAAAAAAAACGCAAAACTCTTTGTATGGGACTGATTAAAAGAGAAACTCTTACCAGTCGCAAAATCTTGTCCACGAAGTCTTGCACGCGTAATCAGTTCTTGTTTTGCAAAAAGATGCTTTGCAAAATACGGATTTTTCTCGCTTAAAACGGTCAGCTTAAGCGAAGAAAAATGTACACACCTTCTTTGTCACGATTTTCCAAGTTTCAGCGGACGAAGGAATGGGTAAATAAAGTAAACTTTTTGAGTTTTGAACTCGAAAACTTTTTCAAATTTGTGCTTGCATGATTAGCGCGCGAAAAACCAAACAACTTGACGCCACAACCATGTTTACATACTCTCATGCAAACACTCCTCTCGGCCAATCAGAGCGCGCGTACTATCTTAGTTATTTTCTAAATAATAATAATTTGGTAATGTGTATGGTACAGTTCCTAACATTTTATTGTAATTCCTGTTTAGACTGGAAACCTGTGGGTGTAGTTGGTGCCATTGTTCCATGGAATTTCCCACTGATGTTACTCTGTTGGAAAGTCTGCCCAGCTCTCGCTATGGGTAACACAGTCGTACTCAAACCAGCCACTTACACTCGGTTGTCTGCCCTCCTTTTTGCCGAGATTTGCGCCGAGGCGGGACTACCACCTGGTGTGTTTAATGTTGTCACAGGAAATGGTGCATTTGGCAGTGCTCTTGCTGCACATCCAGATGTTGACAAAGTAGCTTTTACTGGCTCTACGGAGGTACTGATTTTGCACTTTTATTCTTTGTATTTTTTTCTCTTTCTTTTGGAAACTACTGTCAAACCTTGTTAACACGGACACTGAGAGGGCCATGGAAAGTGTACGTAGTAACAGGTTGTCCATATTAAGTGGGTTGAATTTAGAGGTAGTGTAAAGGCCGATTTAGACAGTATGATTTTTGGTTACGACTATCATGCACCAGTACCATGCGTCATGACTTCACAACAGATCTTGTTCTGTAAATTAGATCTGTGACATTCGTACAACACATTGTGGATGTCGTAAGTGAAAATTGTGCACATGTGGATGGTGGAAAGTCCTGACATATACTAGTCGTGCACGAAAGTCGTAAGCAAAAATTATATTGCCTAAATCGGCCTTGAGAGCTTTCTTTTCCTGGGAACAAAGCAAACTGTCTGTAGTTATGAGGTGTCCTTAAGGCGGTTGCCATAAAGCTGGGCTTGAGTGTACTTTATTTAAGTGTTGAATTTAGCTTGAAAATACCATTTGTGGGCACTGTCTTTACATATACATCTGTTGTAAGTGCCATGTCTCCATTGAGTTATGCAAGACCTCCGTTCTTCAGTTTTTCAAGGCAAGCATGTTTTTAATGTAAGAATTCAAACTATGACGTAATAAAACAGTCATTTGGAGTCAGCTTTTGTATGTTCTAAAGAATTATGTAGATCTCAGAGGACATGTTGTCCAGCCTTGGCAGATGACACTAACCGAGATCTGCATAACTTACACAGGGTCTGTCTATCAAGTACAGTACTGGTACAGAAAAAGTGTCACTCAAATAACATGATGAAATTCCAATAATTTAGTGTACTATCAATGATAACTTGGTAAAAGTACTCTCAGTAAAGGATATCGTGTTTATCTACCGGTAACCTGCATTATTGATAAGTACATGCATATTATCTGCATCTGCATCTGCATCTGTAGGTAGGGAAAGTCCTTCGCCGTTTGACGGCAGGATCAGGCAAGAAAATTTCTTTAGAACTTGGAGGCAAGTCACCCGTGGTGGTGTTTGACTCTGCTGATTTGGACAGCACAGTGGAAGGCATTGTAGATGCCATTTGGTTTAATCAGGGACAAGTAAGTATCTTTACAGTACATGTGTACCTAGAATGCAGTCATGGTTTTCAATCAAGGAGACTGAACCCAATCAGTTATTGCCAGATTACAGTGTTATAAGCATAGGCAACTTCATAACACTCAGGGGTTTTTAATGGTTTGCCGCACAAAGGCATGTGGATTTGATACCATGTGACCCTAAACGTATCAATCATGTGCAATAATGAGGCCCAGGGATTAGGCAAGGATTACTAGTTGCTCATTGGCCGTTATTGGTTGGTTTACTGATAGTCAATGGCTCCGCTTTTCTGAGGAACATGTACAGTTTATGTGTTTAATCTTGAACTTTGCATTTTAGGTTTGCAGTGCTGGTTCTCGGCTGATTGTTCAGGAGACCTGTGCTAAGCGTTTGATANGTGTACCTAGAATGCAGTCATGGTTTTCACTCAAGGAGACTGAACCCAATCAGTAATTGCCATATTACTGTGTAATAAGCATATGCAACTTCATAACAGTCAGGGGTTTCATTAAGGTTTGCTGCACAAAGGCATGTGGATTTGATACCATGTGACCCTAAACGTATCAATCATGTGCAATAATGAGGCCCAGGGATTAGGCAAGGATTACTAGTTGCTCATTGGCCGTTATTGGTTGGTTTACTGATAGTCAATGGTTCCGCTTTTCTGAGGAACATGTACAGTTTATGTGTTTAATCTTGAACTTTGCATTTTAGGTTTGCAGTGCTGGTTCTCGGCTGATTGTTCAGGAGACCTGTGCTAAGCGTTTGATAGAAAAGATCAAAGAGCGCATGACACATCTTCGACTGGGGCACTGCCTTGATAAGGGTATTGACATGGGAGCAATTGTTGACCCTTCCCAGAAGAAATCCATTGCTGCTTTTGTTGAAGAGGCCAAGAAGCAAGGAGCCGAAGTGTACCAAGCCTGTGCATCAATGCCGGCAGAGGGCTCATATTACCCACCTACTTTGATCACAAATGTACAGCCAGTGTCGAAGATTGTGATGGAGGAGGTACAATGAGATTCAAAAATGAATTTATTTATAATATCAATTATTTTGTGGCTAAATCCGTGGGCAGGCGAGTGCAAGAGAAACCTGTGTTCTGATTGGCCACCCGAGTGGGCGAGATAGGCCAATCTTCAGTTGCTCGTGCGGGCTTTGCCGCGGTGATCTCGCAAGAAAAAGCTTCTTTTTGGCCAAATTATAAATCCTTTATTGACCAAAATTGACCGATAGTATTTTATTTGCTCTGGTCATGTGGGCAGTCTCTCTTTTTTCTCCTCGGTCTGCCGCCCTCGTTTTTCGCGTCTCGCGGCTTCGCCGCTCGCGATCGCGTGCACTCCCCTTACTAAATCTGAGAAAGAGAGAGACTGCTCGTAGGATATTTGACTCGTTCTTTTTTGTCGTTCTATTGACCTCGACTTCTCGGTCCATAAAAACGCAAAACTCGTGCCCGATGTCCAGCCATCTTGACCTCACGCTTGGTCAATAAGCATAATGTTATATGGCTGGAAATTTCTTTCCCAACCGCGCGCGCTCTCATTGGTTACTTCGAGGTCACATGACATCTAACAATAAAACCGTTTCCTATCAAAATCTCTGAGCTGGCAACATTGCAAAATCTATGACGTCAGAGGGTAACATTGCACCGTTACCCGCGAATGTTGACCGACGACCGCCGTTACAGCGAGGTTTAATGAATTTTCAGCCATATAACAAGTGACTGGTCCCTCGGGAAACAGTTAATTTTGTTTCCCTCGGGACCATTCATTAAGTGTTAAATGTTATATCTCGCGGCCTGCGTGAAGGTTTGTAAAGGACCACCTCCCATAAATGACAAGCCACCCAAAGCAACATTTTCCTCGTCAAAGCGATCAAGTAGAAGTCTCTCGTAAACGACCAGCTCGCGACCAATTTTTGGGGTAAGGGTTTCCGAAAAATTTTCCTTTGTTATAATTACCCCTTGTAAGCAGTCACCTGACCGACGCATCAGTCGTCTGATCTCCATGGTTCCCTTATCTCCCCAGAGTATAATTTTGACGAAGTGGAACTACAGAATGCTATTAGGGAGATTTATAGTGACGTTTACGGCAAACGGCAAATGTCTTATTCACGTTAGGAATTTCTCGAAAATAATAGAAAACGTGCATTTAAGGAAGCTCGACTGGATTTTTCTGGGGGGATACCTCCCAAGTTTGAGCATTAACTATGTCGCCTGCCATGAATAAAGATATGGAAAAAAAAGTTACCATAACTGTATTATATAAAGATGAAAATTTCTTATGAGTTGGGTTTTATTGCAGTCGGAGTCGCCATGGCAACGTAACGACGCCATCACGTTTTTTATTTATCTTTGTGTTTCTCTATACTAGGAGTTTTTTTAAGAAATCGCTTAAAGGAGTTTGTACCTGCCTTAATTGCCTCAATTATGGCAAAGTTTGAACAAACTCTGTGAGAGCGTTTTCGAAATATTTTGAAGCGAAGTTTTAAGCATCATAAAAACAGTGAAATAGCAAGCTATCCACACAATTAGCTAATGTTTTTAAGAAAATGATAAGCTCTAAAAACGCGGCTTCATCTCATAGTAGTTTGATTCCATTGAAAACTGTGTACAAAAAGAGAGGGGAATTCCTCTGGGCGATCGCTAGTAAGAAGAATTTTATTAACTTGCATTCAGCTGCTTTTGTGACAGGTTTTGCACGTAATTTGGTCCATGCCTACAAAGCTCGCATTTTTAAAAAAACCGCTCGATAAATTTTTTTATAAATTTGACAATCCCGAGATCAATTGTCAATAAATATACCCTGCAAGTTTCAAGAACATTGAAAACAAGGAAGGCTTTTAAATAGGGCCTCAAATATGACCAATTTTTCCCCCAGATTTTGTGTTTACAAGTGAGCGTCCTCATTATTCACTGGCATTGTTTTCAGGTTTCAAATGCACGTGCACATTTGGCAAAAAGAAATAAATATGCATCAAAAAGAATTCTCGATTACTTTCGGAAGAAATATCCGGAATATGCTAATAATTGGCTTGTGTCACAGATGGTCACAGATAGCAGTGAGAGCCGAGAAGGTGAACGTCACGGCTCATCTTGTAGGATGCAACACTTAATTATCTTACTCAGGTTATAATATCACAGAAACTCTTACAAAGGTAAAGAGTTTCTTTACCCGGTTATTAGCATATTCCGGAGATTTAACGGAGGGTCCTTTTTGATGCAAATTCTATCTTTTTGCTAAATGTGCACGTGCACATGAAACTTGAAAACAATGCCAGTTAATAATGTGGACGCTCACTGGTAAACACAAAATCTGGGGGAAAAATTGGTTATATTTGAGGTCCTATTTAAAAGCCTTTCCTGTTTTCAATGTTCTTGAAACTTGCAGGGTATATTTATTAACGATTGATCTCGGGATTTTTAAAATTATAAAAAAATTTATCGAGCGGTTTTTTTAAAAATGCGAAATTTGTAGGCATGGACCAAATTACGAGCAAAAACTGTAACAAAAGCAGCTGAATGCAAGTTAATAAAATTCTTCTTACTCGTGATCGGCCAGAGCAATTCCCCTCTTTGTTTTGTAGGCAGTTTTCAAAGGAAACAAACCACTATGAGATGAAGTTGCGTTTCCAAAGCTTATCATTTTCTTAAAAAATCAGCTAATTGAGTGGATAGCATGCTATTTCACTGTTTATATGATGCTTAAAACTTCGTTTCAAAATATTTCGAAAACGCTCTCATAGGATTTGTTCAAACTTTGCCATAATTGAGGCAATTATGGCAGGTACAATCTCCTTTAAGCGATTTCTTAAAAAAAAACTCCTGGTACAGAGAAACACAAAGATAAATAAAAAACGTGATGGCGTCGTTACGTTGCCATGGCGACTCCGATTGCAATAAAACCCAAATCATAAGAAATTCTCATCTTTATGTAATAAATTTGTGGAAACCTTTTTTCCATATCTTTACTCATGGCGACGTAATTAATGCTCAAACTTAGGAGGTATCCCCCCCAAAAAATCCAGTCGAGCCACCTTAAAACAGTCCAAAACAACTTCTTTAGACAAAACTAACGTGAAGCTACTAATTTGGGGGTAGAAGTAATGAGAAGTATAACACAAGTTAAGGGAAAACGTTTTTATGTCATACAAATTCACGCTTGCCGTAAAGGTGACTCTAAATCTCTCTATTCGCCCCTTTGAGGTTGTGCAGGAGACCGGGTCGAGATGGTTGTCAAGTGCATTGTGGGACGGTTTTGGGGGACGCATTTTCAACATGGCGGCAAATTTGTGCAACAGTCCCACAATGCACTCTGACAACCATCTCGACCCGGTCTTCCGCGCAATCTCAAAGTGGCGAATTATCTTGATCTCTTCTCGGAAGACACCCCCTGTCGTTTGGTTCGATTCCGTTAACACTTATGAATGGAGTACAGTATCTCAAAATTTTATTGCTGATTGATGTATGAATCTGATTCTTTATATTTTACAAGGTGTTTGGCCCAGTACTGACCGTTCTCACGTTTAGAACAGCAAAAGAAGGAATAGCTTTGGCCAACAACACCAATTACGGGCTTGCAGGAAGTGTATGGACTGAAAACCTGTCTCTTGCATTAGAAGTAGCGTTGAGTATCAAGGCTGGATCATTGTGGGTCAATGGACACAATATGTTTGATGCTGCAGCAGGTTTTGGAGGTTATCGTGAGAGTGGATTTGGTCGAGACGGTGGCAAAGAGGTGAGGAGTAAATCACAGTCATGCTCACAGGCTCACTCATCTCGCAAAATAACGCGTGAAACAGCTCGGGACGGCGGAAAAACATGACCGATGACTAAGTAAACTCTTCGCTCGAACTTTGCTAAAACATTTGGGTTCAAATCTCTATTTTGGAATAATTTGTTGCCGCCTACTTCGGGACTGGCTGAACCCGAAATACATTAAGTATTGTTGCTAATGTAAATTAAAATGTTTCTCAAATGTACATATTTTGCTTTCTGTAAGCTTTTCAGACACCAATTTTGCTTCTGGCGGAGCTTTACCTATACAGCTGTATGTGAAGTTTAGCTTACATCAGTGTGCAGCAATAAGCAAACAATAGCAACTTGATTCGATGAAAAGTGACGCGATATTGTCTTTGCAGGGAATTATTTTCTCCCCCTTTCATTTTTTCCAAGGAATTATTTTCTGTTTTCCAGAAAATGAAAAAATTAACTTTCTTCCCCTTAAAGAAGGGGGGCTTATTTGAGAGGGGGTGGGCTTGATTTACGGTAACAGAGAACTTTAGATTCTAAGACGAGTACGACAACGAGTACGAGATTTGATTTAAAGCTTTTTCACGTATTCTCAAAATATAGACTCCCCAGAAAGCTTCATTTTACCATTTTTCACTACAAACATAAGCACTGTCACCTGTAGTGAAGGAGGTTGCACCCTCTCGCGATCGCAAAATGATAAACTTCTAACAGTTGATTACTTGTTTTCACCACTTCGACATTCTTGCAAAAACTCGTAGTAGAGTGACGACGGCTACCACTTTTTCCCGCCGAAATGACGCTGGTTCACGCGCGAGCACTACTTAGTATTGGGAAAATCTCGCACTCGTTGTCGTACTCGTCTCAGTATCTAAAGGTCTCTAATGTGTACATCAACCTAACTAAAAGAAACCTCATATGATACATTTGCTTTTAAATTTCTAATATGACACAACCATTTTCAATAGTTCAGGTGTTTTTCTTTTGTTGCCTTTGTTTCCAGCAAAGAATCTTGATTCCTCAGAATATTTACAACCCAAAAAGGTGGAAATAATATTATCGTCCAAAATAGCATCACAAGAGCAATAATGTTTGTATTCAGACTTGATCGTTTTCAGTCCAATTTTCCAACAAAATTGAGTTTAGGTTGTGTTTACACTACGCCGGATAGCTTTTGCGGATCAATTTAGGTTTTTGGGAAACTGACCACCTATCCCTCCGCTAAGCCAACATTTTGCCCTAAACGAGACGTGAGTGTTAATGTTGACTTAGGGGAGGGGTAGGTGGGCAGTTTCCCAGAAACCTAAATAGATACGCTTCTGCGCCGCCACGTCAGTAAATCATACCGGATAGCGCTTCTGTTCAGACTCAAAAATGGTTGTGGCGGCGCCATTTCTGTGACAGAGCGAAGCTGCGCTGCTCTGATCTGTAAAGCGGAGAGTCGCATATCGGATAGGTGTTCATACTATACCGTGGGCTAGCTTTTCGTGTCGGCACGCAAAGCTAGCCCACGGTATCATAGTGTAAATATAGCTTTAGAATTTGTTCTTGACAATGGATGTTAACCATTGTTTTAACAGAAGGAATTCTCCGTGAATCCTTTAAGCTAGTATTTGTTCCCAGCTTAATTACGTGTACTAAAATGTTAAATTTTGGTGACAGGGCTTGTATGAATATGTCTGCCCATCATGGCAAACCAGAGCACGGCCATCTGTGGAGGACTATGATGTGAAGTCATTTGGATCGACTGTTCCTGCGATAGTGATGAATCCAAATTCCAATCCTGTGAAACTCCCGGAAATTGCATCAGGAAACTTAGGCGAAATTAAACCTCCAAGGTAAGAAAGAGGTCTTCTTATGTTATTGTTCCCTGTATACAGTGACATGGAATTTATACTTCTTAGTTAATGAAGCTAGTATAAGGTCTTTTATCAAGGGAAGTCTTGCAGTCAGAGTTCATGAATACGGACACTCCTGCAAGTATGCCAAGTGTGGGAATCACCGAGAGGTGTGTGAAGTCTGTATGTTTGTTTGTTGACGTAGAAAACTGCCCGTAAAACAGAGGCCTCATTAAGGAAAGATTCAATTGTAATTGGTATGTACTAAGGCTTTATTCGTTTACGGTGGTTACAAACCTGAGGATTTTCGATCGTACTCATGATGCGAGCCCAAAAACCTTGAACGCTTTGATTTTTAATGGGTCAATTGTCTATTCACCAATCAGACTTGACTTGTTACACAGTGAAGTTAGCTTTCTTCAGGCGGTAGCAGTGACAACACTTGTAGTTTTTTCTTTCTTTTTTTTTTTTTTCAGTATTGATCATACTTACAAAGTTTACATTGGAGGGGCTCAGAAGCGACCGGACGGAAACTACTCTCGACCCGTACAAAACCCCTCAGGGGAGGTGATAGGACAAGTGGCTGACGGAAACAGAAAGGACATCAGGGATGCCGTGGAGGCCGCACATAAAGCAGCACCAGGGTGCGTGTATTGTTAGGGAGTAGGATGTTTAAGGTTTTTTTTTTTTACACTATACCAGGGCGATAGCTTTTCGTCAGTGCCGACACGAAAAGCTATCGGTAACTGGCCAGAAATTCTGGAGTTTAAAATTATAAGATGATTTTTTTATCACCCCTTTCCTTAGCTGGGGCAAGAGAGCCGCCCACAACAGAGCTCAAATTGTTTACTACATGGCGGAAAATTTAGAGCTGCGACGCAGTGAGTTTAGTCAGAGACTGTGCGATATGACAGGCTGCTCGCAGGAGGAGGCCAGCAAAGAAGTCGATATCGCAATACAGCGGCTNTTTTTTTTTACACTATACCAGGGCGATAGCTTTTCGTCAGTGCCGACACGAAAAGCTATCGGTAACTGGCCAGAAATTCTGGAGTTTAAAATTATAAGATGATTTTTTTATCACCCCTTTCCTTAGCTGGGGCAAGAGAGCCGCCCACAACAGAGCTCAAATTGTTTACTACATGGCGGAAAATTTAGAGCTGCGACGCAGTGAGTTTAGTCAGAGACTGTGCGATATGACAGGCTGCTCGCAGGAGGAGGCCAGCAAAGAAGTCGATATCGCAATACAGCGGCTGTTTTACTGGGGTGCTTATGCAGATAAATATGGAGGTACTGTACAGGTAGGTGTGTGAATAAAGCAACTAAAGTTAATAAGAATGCCCTGTTGCACGAAATTTTTGCGGGAGTTTATTTTTGCGGATTGGCGATTTGTTGTGTCATGCGGGGACCAATTTTTACGATTAGGACAGATTGGTTTTTTTTTGCTGGGAATTAATATTTGCTATTTTCAGAAATTACCCAGTATCCAGCATTGATAATATTTTCGTTTTCGTTTTCGTTAAATACGTGCAATAGAATACATACTCTCAAACAATACTATGGTTTGCGTACCCTATGTAAAACCAGCAATTCATTGCATACCGTTTTGTTTCTGAATGAAAGAGGCACGATTTCAGACAGACACCATTTCTTCGTAATGTCTTGCTTAGCGAATTTAAGGTAGAGAATATGATTAACTCTGGAGTAAATTTTTGCGGGAAAAATGTTTACGGTAATTTTTATTCGTTGGAACTTATTTTTGCGGATCGCTTGAAAATCGCAAAAATCGCAAAACTTTCGTGCCACACGGTAGGTACAAAATGTAGGCATTAATACAGTAGATGGAAAATGATAGTCAGGTTGTTTATAGTCTTGAATAGGACTTATAGACAGTGGCTGATGACAAACTGTTCGATGGTCATCTTCCGAGTTAAATATACCTAAATATAACTACCGCGCGGGTTGTCATTGGTCACTCTACACTAGTCCTATTCAGGACTACACCCACCCGGACAATCATACCCCACCGACATTTATCATGACTCCTGGGTTCAAACCACTCACTAAAAAAAGGTAGACAGTTAATTCGCATTTGTATCAGTTTGTTCAGTCGGTCAACTTACCGACTGCCTTGATTAACTCGCTACAATCTCTTCCCTGGGTTTTTTGGTAAGGGACACTCCCTTTCCGAAGTAGTTCAGGTAGCTGGTATCATTTATCAGTGTGCGTGCTGTAGTGGATAGTCGGAATTAGGGCTGGAAAACCCTCTCCACCCAAATTCCTCAAGAATCCCCCTTGGGTGTCATTGATTCTTCTTTGGTACGTGGGGGTATGCTGAAAATAAAACCAACTAAAATACTTCAACCTTTTGCGAAGACGTTCTCAACGGAACTTTCCATAATGTTAACTAGCGAGTAGAACGGTGAGTTTACCAAGTGGTAGGCGAGTTGCTACGTTGCAAAAACAAGTTGATCATGGTCACGTGTTTGTGGCAGGAAACCGTCTACTTGCCATTGAACTTGCATGTTCTCCAAGCAACTTTCCAGGAGCCACTTTAAGGCCATATCTTAAGTATTCTGCAGTCAACACTCTCTAAGACGGATACCTTTGGGACTGGTTCTAAGTGTCGGTTTTCGGGAGATGTCCGTCTTATTGAGAATAAAGATTTATTTATGTATTTATTTACCAGCTTTTCTGGACACAGACCCAGCCCACGAACGAGACTCAGGTCCCATTTTAGGTGCCATCCTTACCCAATCCCACAACCCGTAAAGGCTGGCCACACCACCGGGTCTACGACCCCTACTCTTTTTCGAATAGTGATGTGCACAAGAACAAATCAGATAGGCAGGGACCTGCTCTAGTGTCCGTTTTACAGAGGTGTCCGTCTTATGTAGGTGTCGGCTGTATTGTTTATAAGTCAGTAGTTAAGATACATCTTAATTTAAGGGGACCTCGTGAATATGGCACCATGACCAAGTCTTATAGGCAAAATCTCAAAGCTGTTGCCCCTTGTTTAACTTTCACATGCAAAGATTCGTTTCCGACCGCGGCAGGATTAGCTCAGTCGGTAGAGCGCTTGACTGCAGAGCGGGAGCTCTCGGGTTCGATTCCCGGGAGCGGACCAACACTCAGGGTCTTAAAATAACTGAGGAAAATGAAGGTACTCCCTTTGCACTGCAAGCTGCTGGACGTACCTTTGCGTGACTCGGATGACCACGTAAAATGGCGGTCCCTACTGGAGACGAAAAAAATAGTGTCCCCAATTAATACTTTCGTGCTAAATACATTGACACTCAAATAAAGCGCTTTTTTAAACTCGCAGTAATATGTTTTGTTGGCTAACCATGTACCTTTTCTTCTTGGCTTTTAAATTTTCCTCTCTCTCCCCTCCCTAAGGAAACGCCGTTCTATGGTGCTACAGTTAAGATCCATGAGCCTGTAGGGGTGATAGGCATTGCTTGTCCTGACACGTGTCCCTTACTAGCCTTTGTGTCACTACTGGCGCCTGCAGTCATCCGAGGTAACACTGTTGTTATCGTACCAAGTCAGAAACATCCCATGATTGCTGTGGATATGTACCAGGTACCAATCATGTCCTTTTTATTTTCTGAGTTATTCTGTGCGTTATTGCTGTTTTTTGATTGTGGACAACTGAGTTCAAAATTTTTCTGTGCTTTCAGGTGATCATAATTATCGTTTTCTTCTTTAATTATGAGACCATAAAATAATATGTTTATTCGGCAACAGGAAGTTATTTTTTCCCGCAATTATCCATTGAAAATATTCTATAATCGATTATCATGTTTAATTTTTTCGGCACACCATTGCTGTGTATGAATACTCGAATAAGCGCCCATCCTATGGCCTAAAGTTTGAAACATGCCTCTTCTTACTCGACCTCTTTTCTTTTGATAACCGACAAAGGCGGGGTACTATGTTACTCATGTTTAATCTTAAGCGGAGCTTTTGTTTTTACGATCATGTGGCTTTCTCGTTCACTGCATCATTGGGGAGCTTAAGCAACAACCACGACGACGGCAGTATAAACATCACTGAAAAATGAATTTGCTTCCTTTCAAACTTTTTCGCGTCTATTAGGACCCGCTCAATTTGTCAAGTGTAGGCGACTTTTCCTGGATTTAAATTCTTAAGGACTTTATCCATGTTCAAAGAGAGAAAGGAAAATTTTGTCGTCGTATGTCCACGTCCTCCATAAAACGTCGCATTGGGAGGTTTCACGTCGTAGTCGTGCAGTGGACGTCAAAGAATTGTACTAAAAAGCGTGATGCACGTGCAGAGCGGTTGTTTTGCTCATAAAACCAATTGTTTTTTGACGCTGTCGTCGTCGTCATGGTTGCTGAAGCTCCCTATTACAGTACAAGTAACGCTAACACGCGTTCTAGCTCATTCTGAAACATCTCGAGGATGGTCCGGCTCCAACACTGAAAAAATGTCCCGGCAGATATTCAAAATCTGATCCTCAAAATTTAACAAAGAATGTTTGCCGTGGATTTATTAAAATGGCTGACAGTTTCAATTGTTACTGCTAATCCCGATGGTAAGTCGCCGAAAAGGAGGGCCGGAATTACTAACACGTCTTCCAGTTTTTCAACTCAAACTTGAACGCCGGAAATATTACCCTATGCCTTATAGGTGATGTTACACGGAACGATTCGCAATGACGAATTTTAGCGCAGCACAGCGTTGCAATGTTGGAGCAATGTTGTAACCAGTCGAAAAAATGTCGCAGCAATGTTGCCACGCTGCATTGCGCTAAAAATCGTTGTTGCGAATCGTCCCGTGTAACATCACCCGACGGGGGTTAGCGGTCCATTTTGCCGCGCTTTTTGCGATAACTGCAGAATTTTAGGTTACCGTTTGTGTTAAAAAATTTTTACAATGTCTCCGGCAAGGTTCGTTCGTTCGTTCAATGCGGAACATTGCATATTTTTTCTCGCTTCCTTTCTGTAGATTTTTGACACATCAGACTTGCCCGGTGGTGTTGTAAACATCGTCACAGGGGACCGCGATCACCTAACTAAATACCTGTCCGAACATCAGGACGTTCAAGCCATGTGGTACTTTGGCTCAGCGGAGGGAAGTAAATTTGTGGAGTGGTCATCAGCAGTCAACGTGAAACGTACTTTTGTAAACTACGGTCAGAGCCGAGACTGGCTTGACAACTCTCAGGGGCAGGGTGAGGAGTTTTTGTTCCACTCTACCGAGTGCAAGAACGTATGGCTTCCGATGGGAGACATCTTTGCCAATTAGTCGGCTTGTAGGGTGACTGCCCACTTGGATACGCATGTCAGCTCATTGCTGTAGTTACAACTGAGTTACAACTGATTGAATAAGGGTGTGATTGAAAACTGCTGATGATACGTATGATAACTCTCCCAAGGCTTTTCTCGAACAAAAAGAAACGAGTAAGGGCTAGGGAGAGGAGGGAAAGTGGAAGTTTGAAGAGGAAAGAGGACATAAATAACTTTCGGGAATAGGCCACTTCCGAGTTCCAAAAACCCTCACTTTCAAAATGAGGCCAAGTGCACAACCTTTCTTGTGAAAATGAGTTTTACTTGCATGCGATTGAAAAACATTTCCATATCAGAGGCTGAGCACTTAACCTCGTTTTGATACAGAGGCCCGGGAGAACTCGGAAATGACATATTGTTGGTTTGCACTTGACGTCACGGCGGCCATGTTGACGATCAAGAACTAAAGCATCTCCCTCCTTTGACTAAACTCCATTTTCATGCAAATTCTTCATGAAATAATTCTGTTGTATTGACCACCAACATGGCCGCCTTGTCACGTGGCTGCAAACCAAGAATGTCTTTTCCTAATTCTGGACGGCTTATGATTCGATCATGATATTTACAGCTTCGAACTGAGTTATTTTAAAACACGAGACGGGTTTCAGTAAAAATAAAAAATGGGCAAAGTATCTGATACTGGGGGATGATTTACAAGAAAAGCGCATTCCAAAAATTGCATTGTGCACGATTTTTTTGCCCTCGCTTCTTTGCATGAGAAATTTCATTCGTTCGCAGCGCTAAGTCGTCAATGTTTTTCTTTCGTTTTTTTATGGTCTTTACGTTAATAATTTATAAAATGACCTAATGCAAGTTGATATACTCAGGGGAATAGAAATATCGATTATGAACTTCCATGCAGCATATATCTTTATTTCCTAATTGTTATGTTGGTGTGTATGAAAACTGTTGGTCACTATACTTTCACTCGTTGGGTAAACACTCAGGTTACGACAACATAATCACTTTTTTTTTTTTCATTTGCTACTCACTGTAAAACTCAAAGCATACAACCAAGGGGATGTACTTTTTGTTGTAAAGTAGTACCTTTTTGGATAATGTGTTATAATTTCTGCAACGGTACAAATTTTAAAAGATGGTACTGTAGGGTAGTGATTAACATAAATACTAAATAAATTGACTAGTTGTAGTAAATTAACTGGTGTTCACAAGAAAAACGAAGGGATATGTCTCTACAGTCTTAATCTTTGTAGTTAAGCCTGAATGTATGATTAAAATTATTGATACAGCGGAAACGACTGAAATAAATTGACTGAAAAAAACAACAAGATAGAATCGACTTTTAAGTAAATAAGACAATTAATAGCCAAACCATAAAGTAATAAATTATGATACATCCACTTTTATAAACTTCTACTCCGCCTGGGCGGAAAGTGTGCGAGTATGCGAAACACCGAAAAGACTGAGCACGCTATTGGGAAGAGAAACTGGCCTTATATAAGAAACCCATAATGCGCAGACATGTAGAGGGTAGCCGCGGGCTTTACGCGGCGTGCTAGTGTTAGGTAATAGAATTAAAGGCTATTTCATTGTGGAGTCCCTAGAAAGAATTACTTTTTCTGTTACATGTTGGCATCATTGAACGGTGTATGGTTTGTTAATGCGTAGATAAGTTGAGCTATTACCGCATCGTGTTTTTAGACAACTCAGTACTATTTAAAAAAGTTATTGAGTGACATTATAATGCACAGAGTCAATGTGAAATCCAAGTTACCCACAAAATCATAACGGAGCAACACCCTGCCTTCGTTCGTACAAAGTTGGGAACGCTTACTTTAAAACGTCATTCGTAGTGCCGAGAGTGGCCGAGGGCCTGCACTATCGACCTTCGAGTGTTATTGGGGCTAAGGGCCGTCGTTGTTCCTGTAAGTGCTATAAAAGAAAGGAATAGTGCAATATGACTCTCCTATTTTTTATTTATTTTTGTCCCTTACACAATAATTCAGTGTAGGCATTTTGTAGCTGATCATTCACCTGGTACAAAACCATCACGCCAGAACGTAAGGGACTACCCTGGTCCCAGAGGATTTTCTTGATTTTTCTTCGCGAAAGAGATCAAGAGCAAGCCGCGAAGCGGCGACAACGAGTCGCGAAAGCGACGACGAGAGAGAGAAAAACCCTGTGGTTACCTTGGCCTCGAATCTCACTTTCATGCAGACGACAGGGTCAGGATCTGACCCTCGGGCGTTGATTAGTTGATATTTTTTCAAACACGCAAACCAATTTGATTGGATTGTTTAATTGTAACTACCGAGGGGACGCTGAGGATTTTCACACCTCATTTTTGAAGGTAAATTTTGCCTCTCTCTACCAGGGAAGGAAATTGTTTGTATACTGCACTCGCAATAAAATTTGCACGGGACCAAGGCACGTAAAGGCACGCCATGTTTCGAGATTTTGACATGGATGTTGTTCCTGAAAGAATATTCGAAGAAATTTTGACCTCGGTACTTGATAAGCGCTTTCCTGAGTCTCACTGAGCAACAAAAGAAAGCTTTGTTCGCCGCCTTGACTCGAAAGGATGTGTCCACCATTTATCAACCGGACATGGAAAGTGTATAATATTTCAGTTGTTACCTGCTGTTTGCAAGTACTTTTCCTTAAGAGGATACTCATACCCTCGCCATGCAATAATTTTGGTTGTCTGTCCTCTCAAGTCTTTTGGACTCGCATATCCACGAACTGCGAAACCGTGCGATCTCAGCAACCAGTTTGAGAAGTCCAGACGTTGACGACCACAATCTCGTGACTGGATGTATTTACCATTTTCTGTTACAATACCGTCATTCCATTAAATAAACTGACTTGTTTAGGGCAGCAAAATATAAATCTCCGAATACGGAATGAAAGTTTTCTTGAAGCAAAAAAAAAAAAAAATACAACTTTGTACAAGTAGGTAATCATTTTCGGTGCAGCTTGCATTTCCCTGCGACACCCAATATTCATCTTTAGAGATCTAACCAACGTTATTTTTGGCATTGGGTCAACAGAACAGAACAGATGACAATGTTTGTGAAAAATCCTTGTTATTATACCAAAAAACGTTAAGATCGGCCACTTATTTTTACATAAATTCTGCAAATCCTGCAGCAGTCGATTGGAACAATGTTGGTTTCTTTATAAAGTGGTGTTCTCATTCCTGGACTCTTGTCGCCCATTGTCAACACATGCTTTAGCTTGACCCCGATCAACAAATCACTCTTCAACCCAAGTGGAGATGGTTTGTTCATAACATAATTTCCCCAGGTCTACCCCCGGTTAAAAAAATAGCGGCTGATAAGCATGTGTTTGCTAAATTGCAATTGGTCACTCTTTTTATTAGCAATTTGACGCGTTTGACAGCTGTCGTCTTCATGAAAGTGAGATTCGAGGCCAAGGTAACCACAGGCGGCCCAGACGTAGTATGTGTCGCTGCATGAATATATTAATATTCACATGGACAAATTAATGCGATGAGTCGTCGAAACTCCTATGAACTAAAATAGTCCAAAAGTCAAAATATAACGAAACAAAGCTAAGATACCTTCAACTGAACGTATCCTTGTCTTTCCTGGCCGGTTTAAGTGGCATTTTGTTGAGTTTTGCAGTTGTAGGTACTTGTTTCGTTATATTTCGACTTTTGGACTATTTTAGTTCATGGGAGTTTCGACGACTCATCGCATTAATTTGTCCATGTGAATATTAATATATTCATTGAGCGACATATACTACGTCTGGGCCGCCTGTGAGGTAACCAGAGGTTTTTCTCTCTCTCCTCGTAGCTTTCGCGACTCGTTGTCGCCGCTTCGCGGTTTGCTGTTGATCTCTTTCGCAAAGAAAAATCAAGAAAAACCTCTGGGACCAGGGTAGTAAGGGACTCACTGGGACAAGAAAAACAAAAGGCGTACATCAATTAAAATGCTAATTTCCATTGTTTGTCTTGTCTCAGTGTGACCTTTGCTCTCTAGCGTGGGCGGTTTTGTACCACGTGAACAGGGAGCTTAAGTGTCATTGTCTGAGAAAGTGTTCCAGGGGCCAAAAGTTGTGGTCAACCGATTTGGCTGAAACTTGGCACAGAAGTTGGGTATGATGAGATATTTCAAAAGCCACTTTGGCTCACTTCTCTGAGTTTTAGTTTTGGAGTTACAGGGGGGGTCTCATTTTTTGCCCTTTGGGCACCAAAATTTCAGCCTTCCAGGGGACATTTTGAAAGTGTGATAAGACCCCACTGGTAAATTGTGCTGCCAAATGAATTTGACCATGAACTCTACTATAATAGAGCTTTCAGTTCATGCATGTAACTTTGTCCTCAACGTATTGCACAGAGAGGAGCCTGGGGCTAGAGTTTGGCCAAAATTGATGTTAAAATTACAACCCAAAATAGCCATTTTTCAAAATTTCACTATATTCACCTGCCTTCTTGCATAACTTCCAAACCTATACCACTGTTTACTTTAGTCACCCAGTTATCAAAATCAGTTGAGAAAAATTTGGCTTATTATGGTTTATTGAATTTTTGGAACAAACACTTCATGCCCCTCTAAGGCGATGCAAAATGGAATTTTGAGCCTAATTCAGGCCATAAACAAACCAAATTGTTGACAAGAAGCCCTTATTCTGTATTTGGTAAGTGAAAATGAATTGTCAAAGCCAAATCAGTTTCGCTGTTTAGAAATACACAAATTCTTACCTTAAAATTGATCTAAAACGGGCCTCTGATTAGCGCAACAAACACATAATTTAGCAAAACAAAGGTGATTTTATTCTTTGAAAACCTAGTAACCACCATAGAACACAAATGATGATGTTCTGATGTACATATAACAATCTTTTTACAAGATGGTTAAATTTTTCTTTGATTTATAGTCAGTTTCACGTCATATTTCCAAGCATTACTCCAAGCATGGAAAGTCTCCATATTTTGTCAGGCCCATTTTTTTTATATTTTTACCAGATAAATTTAGCTTATCAAAAGATTCGTTAACATATAATCTTCGTCTGACCTTGTAATAGCCTGAATAGTTGTTTGAAATACCTATCAGCAAAGGAGCATGACCATACATACGTAGATTACACAGACATATACGAGCTTCAGTGAGCAGTATCGAGGTGAACTGTGATTTTCCGAGTCCTTTAGAGCTGAAAAAATGAAACCATCCATCCACGGTTAGGAGAGCTGGATAACAAAAAGCTTGTTTTGCTTTTATAAAGAAAATAACCCAAACAAAGCCTTGCATTGAGATGATGCACTTGTCACTACATCAAGCTAGCTGGCCCGCCAGTTTGGACTTGAAGAGTGTGGGGACTGGACCGAGTTCCCGTCCAATCCTTCTCCCGTTTCGCGGGAATTTTTTCTGTTTTTCGTCAGGTTTGTTCGAAATTCTAGAAAGCGATCTGTTTCAGGATAATTTTTCGATGGGACTTTATTCCTTTGGAGGGGTAAATGACCAGTGCAGTGTCACGTCATGGGCTGTGCAAGAAACAGGAATGCTTCCTTTGTTGTCTTGTGGTAGTGACATGACTGCATGGTTAAAGCACAAGTAGAAGGGTTCAGGTGTGTCCGGGGAAGAAGCGGAAGAACTGGTGATGCCAAAGCTACAGGTGGTTCAAAATATCAGTGAGGATCATATACGCGCACAAATGGCATTTATCGTGATCTAGGGCACTCTTCTGACTGAAAAGAGATTTAGAGACGACGATATGTAAATTACGATATTGTCGTCCCAAATTGTTTGTTTATGGTTGATTGATTCCCATGTTAATATCCTGGGTCCTCAGGAAGAGTACTAAACATTCATCAAATTTTTCCAAAAAAAAAAAAAACAAGTACGATAAGAATAACTTGAAGGCTGTTTTTTGTCTGCTCGAGCTGCTTGTTTACATTAAGCTTGTCACGTGCACACGCTTATCATGCAATGCACAATTCAGTTACCGGTTTCCATTATTTACCCTTTTCGTCAAAGATCTTTGCAAACATATATGCATGCTGCATCTAAGTTTTTCGACGAAATTGACATCTTCAGGGAGAAAATGTCACTAAAACGTCGTCGCAAGATCGACCGAATTAGTTGATATTATTGGATTTGCTTGGAATAATGCATAGGCAATGAACACACATATGCCGTACTTGAATGGGAACTGACTCTGAATCGTTCTGGAAGAGCACAGAAGATTTGTGTATATTTGTAGAAAAAATTGTTTCATTATTTAATAAAAAAATTATTTAAAATAATGTTAACTATACAATTAAAAAAATAATGAAAAAATTTACCTAAATAAGAGTGTTATCTGCTA